ACACACACACACACACACACACACACACACACACACAGAGCAGCAGCAGCATCACAGAACATTTCCTCCTCTCATTCAGTAAAGAAGGAAGACAGCCTGTGCCGCTTCACAAAAAAAAAGAAGTCCGTCCGTCACCTGTAGCTTAACCAGGGAGTAACGTCTCCACCATTAAAAGTTGTCGCAGGTCCATTCTGAGCGCTCAGAAGCTGTTTATGTTCATGATGAAAGTAAAACTCTTTTTTTTTCCTTTTGGCCGTGGGGAGTTAGCAACTGTGCATGTCAGTGCTTCTGTTCTGAATAAAAGCCTGGTGCATGTGAACACTCGTTCGCATAAGATTAATAGTCTACAAAGTTTAGGACTGCATGATGTCCGTTTTTATAAATAAGATGCACCTTCATCGTCCTGGCTGACAAGTTTGAGTTGAACACGTGTTCCCCTTTATTGCTTATAAAATTGGGCATGTGTATTGTGTATGTTCATTGCACTTTAGCATATTCTGAGAAGTAAAGCCACAAAGTGAGARTGTTTTTGTTTTGGGCATTTTTAGAGTAACACAAATTCACAAATGTTAACACAAATTACTCAAATTAATTTGTAAAGACCAATATGTCGTCTTTTTTTAAGACTAAAACTAAACAATTTTTTAAGCTTTCGTCGACTAAAACTCGACTAAAACCATTAAATATAGAAATGATTAAAACTGACTAAAACTAAGAAGTATTTTTGTTCAAAAGACTGACTAAAACTAAAATTAAAATGGCAGTCAAAAACAACACTTCCAAAAGGACCACAACACAAAAAGTTTAAAAAACCCTTCATTAAACCATAAAACCACTCTTTCATATGGTCTCTGTCATGCAGAACATTATTACGATATAAAATGATGATATATTATGCTGTGATTTTATACCAAACAAAATGATAATTAGTTCATTTATAAAYACAAGTGAAAGTTTAACTTTGACACTACTATTCAAATGTTTAACCCAGGGTTCAACAATATTTTTTTCTTTACCTGTCAGGCAGGTGACATTTTTCATCACCTGCCTGACATGAAAAGTTACCCGCCAGAAACAAAAATGTTCAAAATTTGATAAAATATAAGAAAAAACATGTACTGTATTTGTACTACAAAATATTAACATGGTTATACAGAGATACATAATGTATGACATCTGATTTAACAGATGCAAACATTGCAGACTGAGTCACTAACAGTCAGTCAATTGTTTTATCAAAAACATCTTCAAAAACCTTTTTAGACCTTTCCAGTGTTTCCCCTAGAGTACAGGCCTTGGGAGGGCTGCTTATAAAAACAGAATGATCAACAGCAGCAGCTTTGTTTTAAATACAATTTACAGAACATGAAAATCTGCAATTTGCGTTMATTGAATCTWATATAGCCTATCTTATATCTAAAGATACATTTAAGATATCTTGAACTGGAGTCTCCCTACAACTTAATGATAAATCTGACTTACCACTCCAAMCCAGCCTCGCATTCACCTCACAGCTGATCAGGTGAGAAGTCAGCTCAGGAAAACAAAGATCAGGAAGGCAGCAGGAYCGGATGGAATCAGCCCCAGACTGCTCAGAGACTGTGCAGACCAGCTCTGTCCTGTGGTCCTGCACATCTTCAACCTGAGCCTGAGTCTGGAGAGGGTCCCTGATCTGTGGAAGACTTCCTGYGTGGTTCCAGTGCCAAAGATCACACATCCCAGGGAGCCCAACCACTACAGACCGGTGGCTCTGACTTCTCATCTGATGAAGACCATGGAGAGGCTCATCCTGCACCACCTTYGTCCTGTGGTGAGCCCAGCACTGGACCCCCTGCAGTTCGCCTACCAGCCCGGCATCAGGGTGGARGRCGCTGTCATCTACCTGCAACACCGATGTCTCTCACCTAGAGCAAGCAGGAAACATTGTTAGAGTCATGTTCTTTGACTTCTCCAGTGCTTTCAACACTATCCAGCCTGCTCTGCTGAGAGGGAAGCTGGAGGGAGCTGGATTGGATGGGCAGCTGACAGCATGGACCATCGACTACCTCACCAACAGACCACAGTATGTGAGGCTCCGTGACTGCGTCTGATGTGGTAGTCTGCAGCACAGGGGCACCACAGGGCACGGTCCTCTCACCCTTTCTGTTCAGTCTGTACT